GCATAAAAAGGTAGACATTGGAGTTTCAAAATTCTTGCTATTATCAATGAGATAAATCCATACTGTAAAATGTTCTCACTATATTTTCTTTTCTTAATGTTCTCTATACAATCCAGTGTCATGGCATGGTTTTCTAATAAAAGTGTCATATAACAATAGCTTTAATAATACAGAAGGTGACACATGGCATAGTCCCATCCATACAATTCATTAAACTGTTTATGATTTACCATTCTCTGTGTCGGTTTTAATATACATGTCAGTATCACAAGAGTTTAGTATTCATATCAAGCACACCTGAATACAAAAAGCAATCAGCATCCAGATTAAGTTCCCATGGTACAGATTATATATTGCAGTAGTTGATTTTATAGCATATTATTTTACATTTACCCAGTAATTGTGCCCCTTCTTAATAGAGTCTACTAAAAATGTAAAGGGGTAGAAGTCTTAATTAATTCTTTAAATTATTTGAAGGGAAATGATTCTTCAAAATTAATTATCTAAGGGCTCATTATCCTAATGTTGGGAAGTGATAAAACAACAAAATATATACGGATGTCCTTAAAATGTATGAACATAATATTCTACTAAAAATTCTGGTACATCATATTTAAGTTCCAGGTAAGCTTCAGAGAATTTTCTTTGCATTCATACTGGGAATCAAATTTTATTATGGAAACAAAGTTATATCAAATCAATATTACACTTTCATTATAAATATCATTCATTATGGCCACTTAGAATTCAACCTAGGGATGAAAATTTTGCTCAACAAAGAAAGTTCAATAAATAAACATATATTCATAGAAGGAAATATAAAACTATGAACATTTAAATAACACAGATTGATATTTACAATGATTAAAAATTTCTAATTATCAACATACTGAAGACAAAATTATAAAAGGAGTAAACCTCGAAAACAATGGTCATGCTTAATAAGATGAAAGAAAACATTTTACTGAATGAACAAAACCACTGGCTATATGAGTTTTGAAAATAGAGAAGGGTATCTACATTATTTCCTTTTTAAAGATAATGTTGTGGTGGCGTGAATGAGAAGGGCCCCATAGGTTTATATATTTGAATATTTGATTCTTAGTTGGTGGAACTATTTGAGAATCATTGGGAGGTATGAGCTTGTTGAAGGATGTGTATCACTAGGAATTGGTTTTAAGTTTCTAAAACTCCATGATATACCAAGTTACCCTGCTGATCAGGACATAAGCTGTCAATTACTGCTCCAGCACTGTGCCTTCCTGTTGCCACAATCCCCTGCCATGATTGTCATGGACTCACCCTAGAAAACTGTATGTGCAATGAATTCTTTCTTCTCTAAGTTTCCTTGGTCACGATCTCTCATAGTAATGGAAAAGTAATTAATACAAATATTTTAAAATTATTACTTGAAATTTCATACATTTATATAGTCTGTTTTGCTCATATTTATTGACCATTACCCCCTCCTATTGTTCCAATGTCTCACGCCTCAATCACAACTTTATGTCCTTTTTTCTATTGTTATTAATAAGCCCTGAGCCCAATTAGTCGCTGGGGCACAGGAATGCCTACTTTCAAT